GTGAAGCCTCATCCTCTACCACTGCAGCCACTGGGGCCTCCCCACCATCCACAGTGGGGGTTCCAGGTGTCTCCCCACCATCCCTAGGGGCAGCTCACCCAAGAGTTGCACCCATGAAGACAGATTTCAGGTTCAGAGGTCCCGCCGACTACCATCAGGTGTAAACTCTGGGGAGAAAATAAGTTCCCAGTTTGGGGCAAATTACCTTCAATGCCAAAACCAGTTAAAGGGAGAAGTAAAGTGGGAGAAACCCATTTATTGCCGACAACCTGTCGTCCACTTCTGCTCTCCTGTGTCTCTCAGTACCCAGGTGTAAAAAAGGGACCCCATCAAACCTCTCTGGTCCAGATGTGCCCTCACTCCCCCAACACATGTAATCACCTATTGATATAGAGATGGACTACTTCTCTCTACTGCTGGAAACACCTATTGGTATGGAGATGCATTAAAGCCAGGCAAAAGATTCTGGAAATATTGTAATTTTACCCATACCCTGTATGACTGGTGTCCCTAAAAAGGAGGAGACTTGGATACAGAGACACACTCAGAACACTGTATGATGATGGAGGCAGAGATGGGGTGAAGCTAAAGAGCGCCACCAATGGCCCGCCAACCACAGAAGCTGGGGGAGAGGCTGGGGCCAGATTCTTCCCACAGCCTCAGAGGAACCAACCCTGCCCACACCTTGATTTTGGATTTCTAACTGTTAGGCAGAAGGACAGGTATGAGCAGGATGAAAAGAGGGTGGGCCCCCCACCAAGAACTCAGAGAGTTAATCAGATAAGGCCAGAGAGCCAGAGATAACTCAGAGGATTAATTTAATGAAGCCACAGGGACCCGAGAGTGACTTGAAGGGCACAGGCACTTACCAGATGACACAAATTCCCCAGATAAAAATGTCAGAGCGCAGCCCATGTCTTTAATCCTCTAAGACCAAAGATGTCAGTCAAGGAGTTCTCTGTCCTGCCAAAAACCCTATAAAAAGAAGCCTCACAGTTAAGCAGCCTGCCCTTGTCTGTCTTGACTCTGGCCCACTCCTCAGAGTGTATTCAAATAAAACTTTCATTCTGCTTCACTACTATGTCTCTGCCCTTCAGTTCTTTGTTGCAGCTGCTACAAGAACTAAGGATAACAAACTCAACCCTGACATAACCTCTAGAACTATGAGAGAGTACATTCTGTTGTACCACTTTGTGATGTTTGTTACAGCGGCCCTAGTAAGCCAGTGTGTCAGGAAACTAAATTTTTTTATTTCCCTTTTTCTATATTCTTCCAACATGCATTGCATGTTCAGCCCAAATTCTCTCTGCTGTTAGCTTTATTCCATGGGCACATTTTGACCTGAAACCCACCCAGGAGAGACTGGGTTGAGTGATAGGTATAAGCTGAATACCATGATTCACAATGGCAATTAAAAATTCTGATTTAGTTTTTGCTTTGATTCCTGAATTTATGCTCAGTTTGGGGAAGGCTGGGGGTGGGTGGTGCCTTCGAGGCTTTGTACTAAGCACATGTGCATCAGGTTCAGAGCCCTGCGTGATCTCCCATGCCACCTGCTTCACAAGATGCACCTCTAGAAGCAGAACTAATGTAGGGCAGGGACATGGTACAAGGATAATGATTAATTTTTCCTGCCTATGATGGAAATGCTAAGATATGAATAGTATAGTAAGAACAGGAGAGACTCCATTTTAAGACTAAGATTACATTTTAAAAACCACGGAGTTAGGAGATAAGATTCCTAACATATTCTTTGGTAATCGACAATAATCCACCCTATCTTAAGGCAGGGCAAGCAGTCTTAATTGATATGTTCCTAGTGCCTGAGGGAAACCACTAACTGGGAGAGGAATCAGATCAATAAATTTCTTGTGTTATGTTTATCCTACAAAATTATGTAGAGGACTGATGGTGAATAATGTCTCTCATTGGAGAGACGTCGTGAGACTACAAGTTAAGCCTACACCCAACAACTCCCACCGCCGTCCACTGCCCCATTCTTGAAAGCCTTAAAGACAGAATCCCAAACCCTTAAGTGCGCCTCCACCCCTGCACTCCCTTCTATTTGAGTGTGTACTTTTTAAATAAAGCCTTCTCACTGTTTAATTTACTGTTTTATCTCTGCACTCTTCTAGTAGTGAGCATTTTTGTCACTTTGCTATTTCATTCTATTTTCCAGACTTAAGTACAAGTCTTCACTCTCTCTGTCCTACTTCAGGAAAGTAGTGAGGGGCCACTGAGAGCTCTGATTTGGGCTTGCAAATTCCTATTGCCTGGGTGACCTGGACAGGACTGTGGTGTACGATCATGCTCTTTAGGAGCCTGCCTGAAGGTCTCCTTTCTTTTCCTTTGGTAAGTTCTCAGAACATAATCTCCCTCCATCCAGTGCTCTGCAGCTCCCCCAGATCCTGGAGTGGTAGGGACTCAGTTCTTACACCGTGCAAATCCAGTGAACACTGGCCACCAGGTGACCCTGGCCTTAGGAGCTGGCAAGGGATCTGCCCTGTGCTGATCAGGAGAAATGAGCTTCCCTTTCCTCCCTCTGCTCTTCCTTGGTCTCTGCTGCCTGCACGATTGCTTTCATTTCCTGCTGCTCTAGCTTTAATGAATTCCTTCCTTACCTGTACTTGTCAGACCTGTTCAAGAATCCTTTCTCATTCTAAGTCAAGAGCTCTTCCCCATCCAGGCTGAGGTTTCACCTAGAGCCCCATCTCATGCGCAGGGAGAGCCGTCCCCAGACACAGCTGCCTGGCTGCAGAACCAGCAGCCCCAGCTGAGCCCTGGCTCCTGGGTTCATGCCCAGCTGTCTGAGAATGGGGGCTGCACAGTTTAAGACATTCATCTGGCTTTTTATGGAACCACTGACAATCAGAAGCTGGTACAGAACTGGACATACTCTGTAGTTCTATGTCTTCCCACCTAGGGTGGTACGCTTTTTAAAAAAAATTCCTGAAGAGCCAAAGAATTGGAAGAGTAAGTGGGTAGAGAAGTTCAGACCCCTGCTCTGTGCTTGGTCTTGTATAACTTCAGAAGTTCCCAAAAGACATCTGGGGTATGGTCCAGGAGGCCAAGTCTTCTCTTTCACTTAACAGAGATTTATTGAGCATCAACAAAGATAGTGAGACACCCTCAGATATTGGGGATGGAAGCTAGTCAGACCAGGTCCTTGAATTTGGTGACTCGGGTTACAAGAGGGAAGATACTTTTGCAAAAATGTATTGGAAAACGGTAATAATGGCTATTATAGGGGCATAACCAAAGGGACAGTGATGGGGGAAGGATGGGGTCTGTTCTTTACTTGGGGGGAGTCGGTGGGGCGTGGCAGTGTGGCTCAAGAAGAAGCCTTCTGGTAAGTAGGTCTTAACAGCATTTCACATCATATATGACTACCTAAATTGGCCTTAAAAATTCAACCACCTTTATTCAGGTGAGGACCCCCAGCCTTTTGTCCTCAGAATAAACATGGTTATGCCTTATGGTTGCTAATTCCCTTTAAGAGCAGGATTGGCCTATAAGTGCACACAAACACACACTTCTTCCAAATACTTAACCACAAGGCAGAAATCCTCCCTAAAAGCAAATAAAGTTCTTAAATGGTTAGACCAGTTGATTACAATGGGAGGGGCCTGTGGCTGTCAACTGAATTGAGTTAGGGCCAAAGGGCAGCTAATCTCTTTAATAAGGAGATGCCAAAATACAAAGACTTCTTTATTCTCTCAACAGATCAGAAGGGTAATCTGGCCCAGCAATTCTTTAGGCTTCAAGATACTCTAGTTTGCTTCCATTTATTGCCCAGGGTAATCAACCCAGAGAAATTTGCAAAAGCTCCAAATCAAATAATTTTGGTTTATTTAAACTGTTTTCAAAACACTAAGAGATGTCTCGTTCCCCAGTTGCTGCTGCCTTTCCTGCAGGCAGTGGGATTCCTAGAGGAGCCTGCTGCAAACTTCAGTAGGTAATGAGCTTCTCCAAACTCCATTTTTGACGATAATTTCTGAGAGAAAGGTGGGAGCGAGAAAATGGAGCAAACCAGCCTTCATGAAGTCAAGTCTAGGATCTCCTCCTGGGCCCAGACCCACCTCAAACCCCCATATCCTTTGACACAAACCCCAGAGGCTGACCTATGATCACTCAGCCAGACCCCAAGAAAGCAGGATCGGAGCCTACCTGAGGTGCTCTCCCCTCCACAGCCACCAAAGGCAAGTGCACAGCCTTTTCCATTTTAGTGAGCCTTATTGCCACACACCAGGGGACAACAGTTAACAGAATTGATTAATATGCTCAGCTTTTTCTTCAGTCTTTCTCTATTCTGTCTGGCCATGAACCAGTTATAACAGGCAGCACAGTGAATGTATTTCCTATAGTTAATGTTTTTGGTTTTGTTTTTAAGTATGCTTTTTTTTTTTCTCTTGCTGCATTAAGGTTCTTTTAGTTGCTCGAATGCAGAGCACTCTGGAAAGCTTAAATGACAGCAGCAAAGGAACTTATTAGCTGTGTATTATCTCACGTATCTGCTGCATTTCTGTTATGCCCCCTGCCCTGAATTTCCACTGGGATTTGGCCACATCATTTCCAGAACAGTATGAAACAAGCAGATTTTTACAGCAGCTCGCCATAGGTTCCCATCTCTTTCCCTCAGTGTTCTCAACTTTTATCCATTTCTTGAGTTTCTTTCCTGATAGTCTAGACTTCAGGCTATCATTTTGAATATAGCAATGCAGAAAAGATTGGAGTTTAAGAAGCTCCAGGCTTCTGACATGGGAGGTTCTTCTAAGGAAATACTTGGACAAGGATGCATTTGTGCAAACTAAGAAAATGCTGGAACTATCCTAAACATTCAGAGTAGGGGATGGGTCAAATAAACACTGATATGCCCACAGGAACAGCCACACTACCTTCTGTAGGGAAAATACGAAGCATTTCTCATTCCACTCATGCGAGCTAGTTCTCTCCGCAAAGAGGGCAACAAATTTGGAGAAGAACGCTAGCAGAGCAGTATATCATCAAGGAAAATGAATGCTTTAATTTTAGTAATTACGAAAGTTAACATTTATTTATATGCTGAATTTCAGACAATATGCAAAAGTTTAAAATCACTTTCCTATTCAAGCCTCCATTGAGCCCTGGGAGGTGGGACCTTGGGTTATTTCACAAATAGTGGGGTGAGCTTGTGTTTGCTGTACCATGAGCTCCCTGCCCTCACCTTTGCCTTCCAAAGGTGGTGTGCATTCAGGTCTCAATCTTTAAATACCTTGCTTATAATTTTGAAAGGTCCTCCTGTTGTAGGTGTTACAGCCAGGTGGTCTGTTGCAGAAATATAATTGAAGTAGAGAACTATTTTTAATGACCCAGACAATTATTCAATTAAATCAACAAACTGTGCAATATACATATATATAACTTTAAAAATATCATACATTAAAATAGTTCATTGACGCTGAACAGTCTTTAGATAAAATACAAGTTCTCAAAATGTTACAGATTTAAGTTACTCTGAGTGTGTTGACAGTTTTGATAAGCTGCTTTCACTTTACTATGTAGGTTCTGTACACATAACATAAAAATATCACTAAAAATACATATGCCTAATTTTGTGTTGTTTTAGCAATGTTGAGAATATCATCTTGGTGGTATAAAGGGTGCATTTCTAAAAGAAGAAAATGATCAGCTTGGGTTTAGAGTCTGATCACTCACAATGGATAGTATTTATTCTGAGAAAACTATTACAGAAGTTAATCTTTAAGGGGAAAACCAGTCAAGTGCTATTTGGACCCAATTTCTAAGAAAGGAAAGGAGGAAGTGGTGGACTCTGAAGATAGCGCCTGCATTCCGCTGAGCAGTGACTGGGGGATGAGGGCCAAGGGCTCCTCAGCTCTAGAAAAGTCCGGAGCGGTGCTTCCCTCCAGGGCAGCAGCGGGAGGACCCTGGCCCATCCACCCAGGGTTACTTTAATACCCTACAGTGCCATCCGTACCTGGCTGGGAGGAGAGGAGGGCTAGTAAACCCGACCTGGCCCTGAGGGGGGCACTTGAACTTGTAAATCCCAACTTCGTTTAACTTGCTACTTGGAAACGCTAAAACAACCATCAACCTTGAAGGGGAAATTCCCCGTGGAATTTATGTAAATGTGGCCAGTTACAGAAAAAGGCAAAAAGCAAACGGTGATTTGGGGTGTTTTTGGCTTCAGAAAGAAAGCCCCAAGAACAGAAGAAGGACAATGCGCCCAAGTTCACTGCTAGCTCAGCGCATTCTCAGGCATGGATTGTCTTCGCATGGACCGTCCTGGCAGCCTCCCACCCTCCGGCACGCGGGTGCCAGGTTCTGACCCGGCCCCGAGGACACTGGTGGTCGGGATTATCGCCACCGCTGGTCCAGCCCGGCGCAGCCTAACTCCAGGGACTGCAGGGGCCTCGCAGTTCAAACCTGCCCCATCCCCTCACCCCAACTCGGGTACTGTTGACCACGCTTCCACTTTGACCTTCAGCTTGCCCTCCACTGTCTGGGGTCCTCAAGCGTGTCCCCAGTGGCTGCACCCGCCCGGTTGTGTTCACCTTTGGTCCTCGATGGCTGCCCACGGGTTGGCCCCTGGTGGGCACGCTGTCAAAAAGGGTGGAAAGAAGGGAATGGAGGAAGAGGGGTAGAGACGGGGTTGTTATATACCTGCGGTCTTCGCAGCCGCCCTTGACCGGCGATACTTCCTGACAAAGGTGCACCCATTCCAAACCAGGCTCACCCCCTCGCCCCCACGCACAGCCGTTCCCACGAGGGTTTGGCCACCGCGCGTCCTCGTAGCGGTCAAGGGCTCCCTGAGGGCCCTCCTCACCCCGGCACTGGGACAGACGGGGAGAGAGAAAGCTCGGCCAGCGGGGCGCTGGGACAGGGCTGTGGCGGTGGCCTGCGCCCTGCTCTTTGTGTTTGGCAGCCAGCTGGGGAGTCAGCGCCGGGTGTCGGCCTCATCCGGTTAGTCCACCTGGACCCCTCAGTCCAGGGCACGGTGGCTGTGGCTAGGGGTGGGGGGGAAGGGAACCCCTTACAGGTCCGGTCTGGAGTTGCCGCTGTCCACACAGCTGTTCCCCCAACCCCCACACCTTGGCCTTGGGACACTTCCCTAGGGTTGCTCTTTTAGGAGCACCTGCAAGTCGCCGTTGGTTCTGCGGGACCTGAGGACTCTGCAGCTCCTCCCTTCGGGCTGGGGCTTCCCCACGGCAGCCTGCAGCTCCCAGTTCGGAGCGCACGGTCCGCAGCGCAGCCCCTGCCCCAGGCCCCTTCCGTGGACTCCACCTTCCACACTTCCACTTGCCCTCCGTGCCTCGTGCGCCCGGCGGATTCCTCGTCCTAAACTCAGAGCCGAGTTGGCCCCGGAGTCCAGACCCCTGGGAGGGTGGAAAAATGGGCTAAGTGCCTCGGACGCCGAGAAACTCCCCGCAACCCCCGCTGGGAGGCCTGACGCCCTGGGCGGCGCCAAGCCTCGGGGTTTAGGTATTTCCCACGCGGGAGCAGGCTCACCTGCCGCGCCCCGACCCCCACCTTCGCCCTCATTCCCCGGGCCGCGGGAGGGAGAAGCTCCCGCCACGGGGCGTTCGGGTTGCTTAGTTATTGCTTCTGGTTCTAACGCGCGCCCATTTCTCGGCTCCGGGGCGAAGCAGCCAGGTGCACTGTCCCCGCGGTGCCGAGAAACCCCTGCTTTGCTCTTAAACTTTCGCGGGGAGCAGCCTCCGGGCTGGGGACTCGCGCGCGCGCCCGCCCCCTTGCATCTTCCAGCCCGCCTCGCAGCTGGTCGCCGCCCGCGCCCGCCCGCCGCGCCCGGAAAGCCCCCGCGGCTCCTCCCACCCCGAGGGGCTTTCTCCTCCCTCCGTGACTTTAGTCTGCGAGCGCAGCCGTCTGGCGCTCGTTTCCGCCGGGCTGGGTCGCGCCGAGCTCTGCTTTCCTGCGGCTGCCGGGGACAAGGGGCGGTGACCGTGGTGCGCGCCCCGCGTCCCAGTCTCCCGGCCCGCGCCCCGGCCCCCGGCCCGCGCCCCGGCCGCCAGCATGGTGCTGCTGGCCGGGCCCGGGCCGGAGGGCGGCGGGGCGCGCCGCGTGTCCCCGCAGCCTTCTCTACCTCGGGACACGCAGGCCAGCGAGGATCCCGCTGACTACGAGGAGTACGAGGACTTCTCACATCTGCCCGACGCCCGCAGCATCGCTTCGGACGACTCCTTCTACCCTCTCGGAGGCGAGGAGGAGCACGGTGCCGGGAGCGCGGAGAGCGTCCCGGAGGGCGTCCCGGAGGCGGTGACCCTCTTGCGTGCCGCCTGCGCCAACGACGTGGGGCTGCTGAGGGCGCTGGTGCGCCAGGGGCCGCGCGTTGAGGAGGTTCGGGAGACTGATCGCAACGGCCGGGTAAGCTGGCCTCCGCGCAGGGTTCGGGTCCCCTCCGTCCTCCCCACCGTGCCCCGCGCTGCCCTTGCCGCGATGAATTTGTCCAGGTCCCGCGGTGACTTTGCCGCTGCGAAAAGCGCCTTCTCCTCGCCCCCTGGGGGTGCGGCGCGTGTGGAGCGGTGGCTGGCCCGCTCCTCCCGGACTCGGGTCGGCGGAGAGTTTGCTCTGCCCGAGGTCACAACGCCGCGGAGGAACCATCCAGTTCCGCTTCCCCTTGGTGTTTCCCGCCCCCGGGACCTCCAGTGCCTGAACGCCGGCTGGGGAGCCTGTCGCCGGGCCTCTCAGACTGGGCCCCTCGGACTCGCACCCTTCCTTGCCTGCAGGGTACCCCTACCGCCCCGGGCCCAGTCGTCACCTCGGTCCCTTGCAACCCCCGTGCTTCTTCCCTCCCCCTGTTGGGAGCGGATCGCCTCCTCCCGGCCACCGCTTTTCGGAGTCCCTTCGCGTTCCTGCCACCGCTCCCTCCGCCCCGCTGCGGCCGGGGACTCGCACGGCTACCGGCCGGCGTGGCCAGCGACTCGGCTGCCTGCACAGTCACCGCCGTGAGCCGTTGCCACGCGGGGTCCGCGGCGGCGGGCCAAGTGAGGGCATCCGAGGAGCGGGCATCCACCGGGTGGGGTAGGCGCCCCGGTACCCATGAGTCATAACGCCCCAGAAATGGCTGGAAACATTTAGAAAAGGAAAGAAAAAGTTGGCTTTCGAAGACTTGAGAATGACTGGTTCGCTGACGACCCACCATGTACTTGGAAGGGAAAACTTCAGAGTTAACTATGGTGGCCAAGTTCCAGTGTGTGCTGGGGGGACAAGAGGAAGCCTTCTCACCTGATGGTCACATTCCCCAGGACCCGCGGGATCTACGGCTTCCTCCCAGCACAGATCAGAAATGGCACATGCTTTGGGAGCCCATGGCCGGTAGAAAATATGTGCTTTACTTGGGAACTCATGGGACCTTGTGGCTTTGGTTTCCCGCAAGGGCAGACTGTTTTCTGAGCTGGACTTAGGCAGGTGGCCACTTCCTGCTCCTACACTTAGGCCTCCGACTTGACCCAGCGTTTGACCTTGGGGAAGGGTCTGTGCCTGCTGTGATGTGTCAGGCGGCAGGCCCCTGGAGGCTTGTGGCACAGGGCAGTGCTTGCACCCGGCCCTTCCTCTGCCCTCCCCAGAGGGTCACAGGCTGTGTCTGCATCTGCCTTTCCTAAGGTGAGATTTCTCACACACGTGTTTATATGAGATCTCTCTCCTGAAGCAGGTAACAGCGCCTGCTTGACAGGATCAGAAGAACACAGGAGGGGCAGATCTCCCCCCTGCCTGCCCTGGGCAGCCCAGCCTGTCCAGTGGGCTGGACTGGGCACGGGCAGGGTCTGCCTGGCCGTGTCCTGATTCTGAGGCTCCAGTGGGGTTTCATTTTACTATGTTTCTGTTGGGGGCAAAAAATAACAGTTTGAAAACAGCTGCATGGGAGCCAACATAAGCCCTCCAGGGGGCTTAGGCCTGACTCACGAGGTTTCTGGACCACTTTTGAAAGCCCCTCCCCAGGCCCAAAGCAGGGGAGGGCAAAGGATGGGGAAGCAACCTCTAGCCTCTCTACCTTAGTTTCCCCATAAAATAGGGCTCAGGAGAGCTCATGCCTCCTGGGGTTGGGAGCACTCTGACATGGCACCTGTTGATGTCTCCTGTTTCTCACTCACATGACTTCTCTTTGCTTGCAAGAGTGCATCCTCCAGCATTTTGTTGTCTTCTGCTAGTCAAAACAGTTTTTCTCCTCATTTTTCCCCTTGATTACAGAGTCTCTCTTTGCTTCTCTGCTTAGGGTCTCCCCCCCTGCACCCCACCAGTCATGATGGAGAAATGGCACATGGCCAGTGAACTGTAGGACCCCTGGGCTCTTTGGTCTTCAGAGCAGAAGGAGCAAGGCCTGTGTTCTGTGCTCTGAGAGGGGGAAGACAAGAGCTTCTGTTCTCCCCAGGGACTTCTAGATGCTGTTGATCAAACCGCTCTGATCAACCGAGACCAAAGTGTTGTGAAGTGTGAATGTATGACACGGGGGCAAGTGGAGCAGTGAGCCATTGCATATGTGCTTACTGCAGACCTACTGTGTGCAAGGCAATGCATTGGTACTGGAGGAGACTCCAAAGTAAACCAAACAGTTCCTACCTTTGAGTCTTAGCCTTTTAGTTGAGGAGAGAACTCAGTAATAGTACCTGGTGCTTACGAGTAATAGTACTTGGTGCTTAGAGAGTAATAGTATCTGGTACTTAAGGAGCAGTAGTACCCAGTGCTATGGCCAGAGAAAGGACACACAAGTGTCTTAAATGCCCAGAGCTAGGACAATCCTGGAAGCCCAGTGAGGGGACACTTTTGGAAGCAGTGGTGGGAGGACATTCTAGTCAGGCAGATGGAACCAAGGGGATGGTGGCAGGTACAGCATGGTTGGTTGTGGTGTGGCATGGGGGCGGGGTCATGTGGAAGCTAATGCTGGAAAGGCTGAACTGGGCCAGGTGATGAGAGGCTGGCCTGCGTGGCTGGCTAAGAAGGAGGAAAGGAGAAGCAAACTGATTTCCTGAGCCTCCCTAGATGGCCAGGCAGCTTGCCCACTCACTGCCTTTGGGTTCTTGTCTCAGGGAGATCTTTCCTTGTGATGTCCCCAGCAGCACCTGGAGCTGGGAAAAAGCAATCCACCAGTTCAAGGACCGAGTGAGGGCAGTCATTTGAGAGAGCAAGGATATGTGAGTAAAGATGTAGAGAAGGTACCTAGGGAGAGCACTCCAGGCCGAGCAGCAAGTGCAAAGGCCCTGAGTCAGGAGCCCTTTGGGCCTGGTCTACACGCCTATCCTGGTTAGTGACAGTAAAAACCTATAGAAAGCGAGGAGCTTTGGTGGAGGAGGGGGCAACTGCATTAACTGAAGAATGAACCGCTCCCAGGTGCTGCCCACAGCCAGCTTCCTAGAAGAGTAATGTTGCTAAAGGCTTTCAAAGGTCGTCTGCAGTGTGTTTGTTGAGCTGCTGATCTGTGGTCAGTTAAGGCTGCTTCGCCTGAGCTTACAGATGTCTCATTCGGTTTGTGTAACTAAGGGTCAGATGTGTTTTGCTCAAGAAAATGTGTCCTTTCCCAGCTCCTGAGATTGGTGAAATCTTGGATGTGGCTCAGCACAAAATTTCCTTCTGAAATATTTATTGCTCTAGAAGGATTATATAATTTAATATGTAACATGTAAATATTTATCAAAAAATTTAGTAGCATTCAAAGTACATTTCTACTGTCTTTTAGATTTATGGTGGTTTTGTTCTCTCTGACTTGGGGACAGGGAAAGCTGCCATAATTCTTTTTTTTAGTTCTTCTTTTCACACATGTTTTCTCCCGGGTTCACCTTTACTGCTGTGATGGCTCTGGAGGCAGCACAGAAACTGGGGAAGTGTTTGTGCTGTTTACACTGTTGCAGACGGCAGTTTGAATGTGAGACAGCTCTTGAACCAATTAGGCCCAATTATGCTAAAGGTAAAATATTGCACTCCTTTCTCCGTGTAATTTTCCTCCTGCGTGCTTGAATCCTGGGACCTGATGGTGAAATTCTCCCAGCGCCTTCCACCCCTTCGCTCTTTTGGCTCAGCAAAGCCCACAGAATGTGCCGCTATGGGGCATCATCTCCTTTTACTGTTGAGGGGGCTTAACTGTTTTGTGGATTTGTAGTGGTGATTGGGACCTTTATTTTAACAAATACACACAAAAAAGCTTTTGTTTGTTTTTGTTTGCATTTCGAATGTCACAGAAAGATTTATAAACTTTGGAATCACCTTTCCCTAAAGTGAAAAGCAAGTAGTTCGGTATCCACACCTAGCCATTCTGCCTTTCGCAGGCCTCAGTATTCAGGGACTACCTGTGCTTAGAATGGGCCAGTGACTACGGAAAGTGGGTTCTGGCCTCAGGTCTCTGTAGGTTTGCCGAGGCCGTCAAGCAGTCAGGCTTCGCTTTTGAGGACGTGTGTTGGTGTGTTAGTTACAGATTCCAAAGTGTGGGGAAGGGGACAGAGGGAGAGGGAGATCAGCCTGAGGGCCCAAGGGTGGAGCAGAGAAGTGGTCAGCGGAAGTGGGCCTGGATAACCTGAGCTTGTGGCAGGCAGACTGACAGATGTCTGCCTCTTCCTCTTCCACTGACCTTGGTGGGGGCCGCTTTGGGTCCAGCAGCAGTAGAGAGGCCCATGTGTGTTTGTGGTTTTGCAAGGACTAGTATTATTATTATTTTTATAACAGCTTTGGTTTCCAGCAAAACTGAGGGAAAGGTGTGGAGATTTCCCATGTGCTCCCTGCCCCAGCACGGACATAGTATCCCCCATGATCAATATCCCCCAGCTGAATGGTTCATTTATAGCTGATGAACCTACCCTGACACATGATAGTAACCTGAGTCACTAGTTGGCATTAGGTTCACTCTTGGTGGTGTACTTTGTGGGTTTGGACAAATGTATACTCACATGTGTCAATATTATGAAGTGTTTTTTTTGACATAAGTGTATCAGTTATCTGTGGCCACACAGTGCTGTATGACAAGTAACAGAAACCTCTGTTCCCGGGTGTGTACCACAGGAAACACTGTGCTAATGGTGGCCCAGCTCTGCAGTTCTCAGCTGGACTTGGCCTTCAGTAGGGGTTGGCTGCAGAAGGCAGGACTGAGAAGGTCTTGGCTGGGGCGGCTCTGCTCCGTGTGGGCTCTCTTCCTCCAGCAGGCTGGCCTGGGCTTGTTCTCCCTGGCAGGAGCAGGGTCCAGGAGGGCAAGCAGAGCGAATAAGGTTCAACGTGACTTCTGCAGAAGCAAGCTACAAGGCCAAGCTCAGATTTACCCTCTTCCATGTGAATTTGCTTTTGTTTGTAAAGGGTATTTGTTATTCATTAACCCTAAACATTTGTCTTAAAAAACATTTCTTTTAAGGAGAATTTTACCTAGGTCCCCAAGTAGAGGGTACCAG